CTGCCTTTAATTGCTGTGGACATGCTAGCCTCGCCCACAGCAGGAGCCATTTTCAGACTGCTATTCATTGTATCTTTGAGGCGGCGATCACGGTTGCTGGGGGCGGGCGATTGTCGCCAACGTCATGGGTGGAAGGGCTGGGGGTCGGCCAGACGCTCTCTCGCAACCCTTCCACCAGTGAGGCTGGTAATCACCGCGAGCCTGCAGCATCGTTTAAGCTGAGGGTATGGGTTATTTATGCTTCCTCCTCAATAACCCAAAGGGCCATGATCAACTCTTGTATTAGCTAGCAGTTTATAAAGGCGTGACAGGCGTCTAAAGATTGTAGAGTTGAGGATTAATTTTCTCAGAAGCTTGGACCCGGAATAGTCGGTCAAAAAAACTGAGCGGAATCTCCTCTGATCTTTTCTTGCCAAGGCAGGCTCTGAAAACGAGCAAGGGAAAGTGAAGGAATGGTTTTTTTTTTCTGACCAACTATCCCAGCAGCTGGTGTTGCTCCACTGTTTTGAGTTCGTTAAGATCTGCTTCCCTCTCGATCGCCCAAAAGTCTATCAAGAGGGTACTGGATCAAACATCCTCTATCTACGAAACAGGTACATACCTTGTATAGAAGTCTAGATTCGTCGTTGAGAACGCTCATCATGTTTTATTCAGCAAGCCATTTCGTCCGTGTCCTATCAGACAACAGTGAGTGACGCTGAAAAGGAAATAGAGAACTATCACAGAAGAGTGGAATGCCTTCGTGGCAAGAAAGAAAATGCAGCCATCGCATCAGCAGAGAAAGGTCATTTCCTTTCAATTTTTATCAAACGTTCTGGGTGTAGCGTTCGACGAGCCCACATTTATGGTCAAGTGAGAAGCTACTACAGCATTTTTGGAGTAGGTCTAGTAATACATGCGGCTGTGGTGATGAGAAGTAGCTTTTTTTGATAAGAAAAAAGGTGAAACTATGGTTGGCAGGTACTTCACCAGTATACTCCGACAGATTGTGCGAGGACTGATATCAAGGGCAGCGACCAAATAGTAGGTGGTGTTGAATGTCAGTAACTTGAGGAAAGTTGACTTTTATTCGTCTTCCGCCATGTGTCCTGGGATTCTACATAGCTCATGGTCAGACGAGAAATTCTGAGACATGACTGGAACTTCTTCTGTTCACAAAACTCCACACTGTTCACTCTTTACTGCCTCATTCTTCTGAAATCGGGCCAGTTTTTTACCGACTTAGGACAGATTTGGCTAAAAACTGGTCCTCGAGGCAAGTTTGACCTCCCGAACACGAACATCACATCCGCTTGGCTTGAAATAGCCAGGCATTCACGCCACATCATCCAGCGCCGAAATGTCCTAAATCTCCGAATTCACTGAAAAGTTGGGCCAGAGGTAGTTTAACTTCGTGACCACGAATATCACATTTGCATGGGGTGCTAATGGAGCTATGAATGAATGAAAGGGAGTACAAGTGACAACGCAGACTGATGTGCTCGTCTGCACGCTTTCCCGAGATAGTGGTCTCTCCCTGTGCTAAGGCTGAGCCTTAGGCAGCGTTCAGACTTCGCGACGGCAGCGCTTCGGTCGCGCGTTCACGCGATCGATGCGCATGCTTTCGACTGCATTGATCGCGTCGAACGCGCGACCGAAGCGCTGTCGTCGCGAATCTGAACGCTGCCTTAGCAAATAGAAGGATCACTATCGCAGGCATACGGCAAGGGTACACTCTTGCTGCGTGTTTCTCTAACTGCCCTAGAACAGCGCTTGGCACGAAACAGCCAGCATTCCATGCTGCTACACGCACCTAGGTCAAATCATGCTACACGCACCTTGGTCAAAACAAGCACATGGTGCCATCGCCCGAAACGCACATAGTTAACGATTTAATGCCCAACGAATGTGATTTTCGTGTTCAGGAGGTCGAACTACCCCTGGAAACAAGTTATAAGTCAAATATACCCATGGAGAAAAAAGTCGGTAGAAAACTGGACTGATTTTGGAATACTGGGGGAGTAGGAGATGTATAGCCTTGTTCGTCTGATTGTGAGGTATCCATAGAATGACGCAGAACAAGCCAAGCAGCGTTGGGTCTTGCAGTTATTTATCGACAATTTTTGAAAACATTTTTAGTTGTATTCGTGTAATATTTACATTCACCCTCCATTCACAGTTTCGATTATCAATCTCTCGTTAATTTTCAAGTAGCCACGCAAAAGTTGAAGATGGAGTCATTTTGTGCAAGAGCGGCTGTAGCAAGAGAAATTCCAATGGGTCTCGAGAAAATAACGTCATCATTGGCGAAATTAAAGGTATCACATGACTTATTTTGCTCCTATTTCAACTACCTAAAATTGCATCTAATTATGCTTTAGATGGATGAAGACGCTTCATTTGCATCCGTCAAAGCAGATCTTGAACAGACCATTGTTAACATCAACAGCAAGGTTCAGGCAAGAGGTGGGGTAGATTTCTACGTTTTACAGGGCGTTGCTTGATTTTGACATTCTTTATCGAATCGCGTTCTTTTTAATAGATGGAACTTTATCTGGTCCCATGTTTCGACTCTTTCGTCTTGAGATGAAACACTGTAGATGCTGCGGAGCATCAGCTGTCAAAACTGTCGCCTGTCAGCTGTCAAAACTCCTCCTTTAACAGTACCATAACTGGTACTGCTAAAGGAGGAGTTTAGCAGTAGTAGCTACTAGCAGTACTAGCACATGCCGCGAGTTGAGCTCCGCTGTATCTGCAGAATATTCGATATGCCAGGGCGACAAAACGATAAAAGGGAACCTAAAAGGTAGAGGTTTCAGCTGTATTCTGTCAACTTATTTGTAACATCATTTCAGACAGCCTTCTTCGTTCTATCGCTCAAATGGAATCTCAGTGTGAGAAAAGTCGTGAATGCTTGGAAGGCTGAAAAAGAGTTTGTCCGCCTTCAATCTGTACGTAGCCCTTTATGATTGTTTTGCCATTCGTTGAAGACTTCCTATCTACCATCCCTTGTTTTAGGTGAAGATTGCAGAGGAACGGAACAAAACTGACAATTTGAACAAGATAAAGGCCGAAGCGTTGGAAAAAGTACTTCAGACGAAGACCTCTCTGGAAACTTTACGTGCTTCTCAGAACGCTGCTGAAAAACAGTTGTCGACTCTGAAGAATGAGGTAACCTCTTACGAAATACCAGGGGGTGAGCTACCAACTCATGGGAACCCGTTTAGACAGTCTTCTGCATAGCGATTCTGTGATCGACAAATATTACAAAGAACTACTTTAGAGAAAAGGCTTTGGGGAAGCACAATACTTAGAGAAACCAGACCTTTCCTGCACTTCCTTTTATAACAACATCGGGCCCTTCTGAGAACTCTTCAAATGAATGGGCACATGTCACTGTCACTGTCAATGTGTCTTTTCCTCATCTTTTCCAAAATGTTTTTTTTTAAATTTCAGTCTGTGAATCTCAGAGAGAAGTTGTCTCAACTACGTGCCGATCGTACTGCTTTGGAAGAGAAAATTATTTCTGATGAGCTGACTTGGCAGAGAGATCTTTCTATCAAGAAGGTGCTTCACAAGTTCATATATTGAAGAGCAGCATTATTTTTTGCCAACAAGGAAAGGATGGTTGGTCGAAGTGGCCATTCGAAATGAGACGTATACGCGATTGCTTTGGACGCTGATTACAAATCTGCCCTCCATATCTGCTAAACGATTTCCTGGACAAAGTTATGCAGGATTTTTGACCAGGTCACACCCATTTCCAGCATGTATATGAGGTGCTCCAAATTGCCCAAATTGGCTGGAAATCTGGAATTAGAGGTGCTTTGATGCCCTAGGAATCAATACTGCAGTTATATTTCGTGAAAACGTCTTGTACGCATTCTGGAGGGGCAGGGTGTGCAGGAACCTGCAACGTCTTGGCAGAGCGTTTTTTACCGCCGAATCGGAATGTGTGATATTCGTGTTCTGGGGCGGCTCAATTATTAGCTAGAGACAAGTTTTCAACCAAATTTTGAGATTTCGACCTATTTTCGATACAGTGGGGTAACCATAGGCAACCAATTCCTAAAGGTTGCTGGCACTATCGCCGATTCAAATCTCTGTGAGCAGTGGAGGTTCCTCGCTAAATCTTGGTCCTTGTAGGTTACTGACGTCCCTGATAACAACCCCGACATCCACTTTTGGCTTCCATGCCATCTGGAATCAGTTTGGCCTCACAACACGACGGAACGAATAGTGCCGCCGAAACCAACAATTAGGAGTTTCCACTAGAAGTGTTCCAGAATGGCTCTATCACATCAGAAATAGAATTTCTTGGTAGAATCAGGTCTCCTAGCCTCGCAGAAGTGCTTTCCGGATGTCCAGGAGGCATTTTCGAGAAAATGCAAAACGGTCGCATGTAGGAATTCGAACCTCTCACCTCGCATACTTGAGCGCATACACCACTAGGCACCGGAGGCACTCCGTGTGACGAGTCACGTTTCTTTGTGTGCCAAGCTCAATTGTGCTCCGTACAACAACCTCCTGCATATCTCTGCTCAGAGAATCGTTTAGCAGATATGGAAAGCAGATTTGAAATCAGCGTCCGAAGACGCATCAGTGAGTATGCATCTTGTCTCAAATGGCCACTTCGACCAACCATCCTTCCCTTGTAAGAGGAGTACAGTTTCACGAAGACCCTTCATGGGCTTTGGCAAACAAATAAGAAAATCAAAAGGGCATATTGCGAGTGCGCGCAAGGAGATTTGGTAGGAGGGAGCGCGAGACAAAGAGCGGCGAATTGAAAAGAGTGCGTGCAAACAACGTAGATAGACAGCTGGCGACTCCGGCTCTTTTCGTAACGCCACAGTCCCATCATTGCGTACTGTCGGAACGGCTGAACACGCTGCACTGGACGCGAACAGCGGCCGCGGCTCGATGACGGCGATCAGCTGATTACATGGAATTCGGCTGCTAATTCTCCCTTTTTCAGCTCTTTAAGATTCGAAAGTCGAAGGTGAATTATTTTGAACAATTTTAAATTGTACTAGCTCTGATTTCCTTCTAATTTTTTAGTGTCATTATTATGTCTTTTCCTTGTATTTTGCCTTCTTTCAGGCATTTGTTCAAATAGCTTGCATTCTTTCAGATTCTTTCAGAGCTAGTACAATTTAAAATTGTTCAAAATAACTCACCTTCCACTTTCGAAGCTTGAAGAGCTGAAAAAGTGGGAATTCGCAGCCGAATTCCATGGAAATCAGCTGATTCGCCGTCACCGAGCCGCAGCCGCTGTCGCGTCACAGTGCAGCGCGGCTCAGCCGCCCCGACAGTCCGCAGTGATGAGGACTGTATTAAGATCAGAATCAGTCGATTTCCATTCAGTCATTTTGGCTAACATTGTTACAAATCAAGCATCCTCGAAGTGATTTTCACGCTGACGCTCTTTGCGCTGATTTTTCCATGTTGAGCATTTTCCCGCCCCTTCAATTCTCTAACGTCTCGAAGTGTAAACGCGGCCTAATTAAATTGTAAACAGTAGTGACAGTCTTGTAGTCAGTGTGATTTACTTATAGACAGTTCCCGCGATTAAGTGCCATGGATAGTTGCTGTTAAAGACAGCTCCCGCGATAAAAGTGTCAAGGATAATTGCTGATCAATTATGAAACAGTAGCTGATAAGTAATTCCTCAATGAAGGAAAAAAGAAACAAGAGCCCTCAAGAACACCATAAACAAAATCGCGACCTGACAGTCACACCTCCCTGCGGTCTCTGTGCAAGCCCTGGCTCACAAATCACTTTGTCACATCTCCCAGTAGTGGATATCATCGAATGCGAAGAAAAGAAAACAAAAAACAACAGAAACATAGAGGAAAAACTCTTGAAAAGAAAAGGAAACATTCAAAAAGCCGGCGTCCGAACTTAGGGTTACGGTAGCGAGCATGTTTTAGTGTAGTGAAGTGCGTCGAGCTTTTGCACCACAGAAATTGCATCATTCGTGATTTTTACGCGTTTTACCTTACGAGATGGGTTGTAGCTTGGATC